AAAAAATAGCTTGAAATGAAATTAAAATATTGTAACATTTTTTTGTTGTTTTGGAGATCATAAGATCATGACATTGATGAACAAAGACCCTATCCTAGGATGTTCTAATCAAATTTCATAGTTCAATTTCTAACATAACTTCTAAGCACAAAATTTTCGAACTTGTATGTGCTTAAATGCATTAATGTGCTTCTTTCTTGTGCTTTAACTGCATTGCTTTCAGGCACTCACTAAAATTAAAAGTTCTACAAATCAGAAAAATAAATTAGAAGCAGAAAACCAAGGGCTGCTTTTGAATTTTGGTTCACAGCTTGATCAGAGCTTAAAAGACCTGCACAAGACCATCCTGGGGTCAGTTTCTCAACAGCAGCAACAATTGAAATGCATGGAGGAACACGTCTCTTCATTTCTTGCTAGTAAATATGATGTATGAAATGAATGCTGATGTCTCTTTCATATGTTAAACTTGTCAGTTAATTTTGTTAATCTTACATCGTTTTCTCTCAGGCCACTCAAATACTGGAATCTAGGATCTGTGAGCCCGAGATTGCTGTAAGCTCAGTCAAGAGGATGATCTTTATGAAGCCAGACAGATCATGCAGACCACTAAAGGAAAAGAAAGAATAAAAAAGAAGAAATAGAGAGGAGCAGACCCACACTGCTGCCACAGTGTTACACAGCAACACAGCACAATGCACCAATCTGCTGCTGATGAAGACAGCAGCCAACTGACAGATTATATTGATGTAATACTTCACCATGCAGACCACCAAAGGAAGAGAAAAGAAGGAAAAACAAGAAATAGAGAGGAGCCAATTCAGAGCAGTTTCGGACCCCAAACGCCCCGGTTTTGCCTACTTTGTCACACGTTTATGTCCTACATAACTAATCATGCGTCCTATCGAAGCGTTGCTTGCTTTCACAAGTTTGTTTGATCTAGGCCGAGGTGCAAACAAACGATCTCGGGTTGTTTCCAGGCTGTTTCCAACAATATTGCCCCAACCGGCTCGTTTTTTCCTTTTTTCTCACATTTTGGTTTCCATGGAACATTCACAAATTCTGGTTTAACTATTCATCCTTCGATCAGTGGAACATTACAATGCATTAAAGTTTCTTTTCTAGTCAACATAAACTATTCTGTAAATTCCATCTTTCAAATTTAGAACTAAAATTAGTTTAAAGACAACCATTTCTCTATGATATTCTCCCCAAACGTTTATTTTCCTTTACTTTGAACATAAATATAATCAAATATGGTTTAACACACTTACCAATTACCATGACTATCTATTGTTGAGAATTTGGTGGATTACGATTTTCCAAAACTTGCGCCAACATGCTCTGAAGTCCAAAAAGGTGCCGCTGCATCTCTTCACGTTGTCTTGTATTCTCTGACTCTTTCATTTGTTGCTCCTCTTTTTTTTTTTTTTTTTTTTC